CATTGAGGATGGAAAAGCTCACACCATTGTCAGTCACCTGATAAAGTACCTCAATAATCTCAGGCTTGACCCAGCTAAAATTGTTTCTCTAGCAACAGATGGTGCATCAACAATGACAGGTAAAAAGACAGGTGTTGGTGCGCAGATGAAATCAAAATACTCCTCCTTTGTATAGCTCATTGCCTAAACTTAGCTGTGACAGATTCAATTAAATAGTTGAACACTCTCAAAACATTTAGAGATAATTTTAATTCTTTGTATTATTTCATAAGTGGGTCAAGTAACCGTACTTCAAAACTTCACAGTATTCAAAAACTGTTAGGTGAGCCTGAACTTACATTAAAAGAGACACACAGCATTAGATGGCTTGGGTTTAAAAATATTATTGAAGCTGTGTATGAGAGTTATAACTCAGTCCTGGTTATCCTTTCAACCTGTGCAGAAGAAAAAAGTGCTATTGCCCATGGTTTACACAAATACTTTTCAGAATATAAGACAGTGATGTTAGTGTCATTTGTGCTAGATATTCATGATGTTCTTGCAGTGAGCAGTTACAAAAACAAAATTTGGTACTTAGTGAAATACAGCTATTGATGGCAAGCAACAATAGCTAAGTTAGATTTTCTAGAATCAGGAGATGGAAATGCTGTAAAGAGCATGAGAGACTGCATAGAACTTAAAGACGAAGAAGAAGAAAAATTAATGCTTTTATGAATGGAGAAAACTTCTGAAGTATTCTTAAAATATTGAAAATGAATTGCCAGACCTGAAAAAGAGTTACGTACCAAGTCTAAAAAGTAATATAAAATACATATTCAAAAACGAAGAAAGAGATTTTTTAAAGACTTTAGCCTGTTGCTGGAACCAGTGGTGGTAAATTCAGCAGGGACTGGTAAAAGTGAAGAAGCTCTTGCACTGTTATATGGAATTGACCAAACAGTAAATGTTGTTCATGGCAGTCTCTAGGGGGTGTATGAACAAAGAAAAGAACAAAAACAAGTCAGCAAACTCTTAGACAAAGAAAAACTCAAGCAAGAGTGACCCATCCTAAAAGGTATGATTTCAGGCTCATATAAAAATTTACCTACTCAGAGTCTGTGCCGAAGGGTTATACAACTACATAAATAAATGATGCCGGAGTTTGCAAAGCTGTGTGCAATAGTTCTATGTATAGCTGTTACAAGTGTTGAGTGTGAAAGGAGTTTCAGTGCCCAAAGTAGAACAAAAACAAACATAGGTGTTCATTGAAAGCAGAAAGTCTAACATTTTGAATATTCAAATGAGTAATATTCAGTTATCAAATTATGATCCAGTTAGAGCAGTCAGGCTATGGGTTACAGAGAAAAAAGAAGAGAAGGATGGCTTTGTCAATGATATATGCCTAGGGCTAAGAAGCCAAAGATGTGCTTCAGCTCCCACAGGAGTTGTTGAACAAGTACAATATATTAGTTTAACATGTAAACATGTGAACGTTTTTGAAGTTATACAGTTAAAGTTCTTGGTAATCATGCACAGGAAGTGCTGGAATCTTAAATATAGTCATAGTTCAAGATATATTATTTAGCAAAGGCAGAGCTGTAGAAGACTTAGATGAAAGAAGTGCGAAGATATTAGTCAGTTATTTATATTCATTCAGGTTTGATGTAAAGACTTAAGCTAGTCATATCAGATTTTGAGCAGGCTAGTGAAACTACATAGACCAGTTTTGTAATATAGGACTGAAGAGGAATACTTTAAAAAAGAATGGGTTTTTTTTACCTTCAGACAGAAGACTACCTCTATGTGGCAAAACAATGTCAAGGTAATGATTTGTACATGCACCTTTTTTCTCCTTAAAGTACAAATATTTACTTATTATAAAGCCTAAGCCTTAGACTTTATAATATGTAAGAAGAATTTGTACTTTAAGGAGAAAAAAGGTGGATTGTTTTAAATATTCATTGAAACTTTGCTTTTCAACCTTGAGTTGGATTTCAGGGAGTAAATACTCATTGACTTAAAATCTTATCTAGAGCTCTGTGGTTCACTGTTAAAGGTTGTTTTGATGCAATTCTGTATTATGTTTTTGTTAAAGAGTTTTCTTTTATACTGTACCTCATTATGACAACTTCTACACAGAAAGTTTAAGAACTCCTTGATAATGGAGCAAATTTAAAGTTAATTGGTTTTTAAATAAAATTCAACCCTATCGCTACAGGTAGGAGTCAAGGGGCATGTCATCACACTTGTAGGCTACTTTATGAATTTTTGTCAATAAGTTTGGTATTAAATTGTAGATTATAATTCAAATTTTAGTATTATACATAGTTTTTTACAAGATAGAAACTAAAATTACCAACACTGACAAGTTAGAATAAAAATAAGAACCTTTGGTTTTTTCTATATTCTAAGATATTATATGCACCAAACCAAACAAGGTGGCCCTACCCACCTCTTCCATTTTTGGAAATGCTTGTTTATTTACATTTACTTCACTCTATGACGTGTTTATAACCAATCAAAAGTTCAGAATTTCCTTCAAGTGATTTTCTCAGCCTTTGAAAAGTGTTTTCACGGGAAAAACTGTTTTTTTGTTGTTGTTGGAGACTCACAAAGAAGATGCAAGATGGAATAGTGATCAAAAAATTATATATTTTAGACCCAAATACAGCTTAGTTAGTAAGCCTAATAAATTACAGTGGAATTATATGGCACTAATATAAAAGTTTATGATTTTTTTATTTCAAAATGCATATATAAAAACTTGAAAAATTATTTTCTTTTACATACTCCATGTGCGAAATTTGACAAGGTTAACAAATTATGGTGAGTACAAATTCTGTAAGTAAAAGAGATCATTGTTTTCTATATTTTAATTTATCTACTGTTCTATGTTTTATGAAAAATAACTAAAATTTAAGAAATTATTTTAAGAATAGTAATCACTAATTATAAAAGGCTTATTCCTTTTGTCACTCTGTTGAGAATGATTTCACACTCCTTTTTTGGTAATTCTCAACAATATACATCATTACTAAGCAACAAAACTATTATCTGATTGTTCTTAGGCCAACTATGGTGTTTATGTTGAATCCTCAATATTCATGTTGATTTATTAAAATGGTTTGTTTTGTTATTCTTTATTTTTTTTATGACTTTGGCGATATAACAGCAAAATAGTTTAATTCAGAAACTTTATGACATTGAGTTGTAGCCAAAAGCAAAATAAAATTTTCAAAGTAGTGTTTCAGCTAAGCCTGACGTTACGTTTATGTATTAGTCTAATGCTTAAATTAGACTACAAATAGGCCTACTATTATTAACATTATAGAGTCAGTGTTTAAAAAGTCTTAAGTGGGGAATAAATGTTAATTAATAAATATTCTTTTGGTATTTTAATACATATATTACCTACTTAGTTTTAAAATATAAAGAAAAATATAAATATAAATGTTGGAGGTATCCCACACTCTACAAAATTTAAAATTCAAAAACAGCTAAAATGGGATAGAAAAATTCATCATATAAAAAACAATATTTAACCACAACAATACAAATTGTCTTTCAATTTAAGGAGGAATTTTATGATCAGGTTGTGGGAATAAGTATGAACAGTCCATTAGCACCTTTTCTAGCCAGTATCTTTATGAACATGCTGGATTATAAAGTTAAAAGTACGTTTAATCTGGATTATGTTTTTTTTTGTCAGGAACATTGACAGTACACTTACTGGCTTTGTTTCTGGACAATTGGTTGAAGAGTTTTTAATATTTTTAAATTCACTACACCTTAATATCAAATTTACCCATGAGAATATCATGGTTAGCAGGATTAATAATGCATTTAAAACAAAGGAATTTAGAAAGGAAACTCCTATTGCTTTGTACCTGAATTGGTTGTCAGTTCATCACAAATCTAAAAAAAAATATAAGAATTATTAAACCATTATTGGCTATTGCAAAAACTAAATGCAGTTCAAAAGAAGGGCTGGATAAGGAAGTATATTATCTGAATGATTAACCTATTAGTGTGGTTAGAAAATACTTAAGAACTGATAAGTTGACAGAAAAAAGGAAAATCATTCAGATAGTTTGGTTTATTGTGTAATTCCTTATGCACCTGGCTTATCAAATATGATAGAAAGATTTTGGAAAGAAATAGAAAGAATGCATAAACTTCCAGTTGTAGGAAAATTTGTTTTTTTACCAGGAAAAAAAGATGAATATGATATTTAAAAATATAATTAAACCTACTACTATTGAGAAAGTAGTAGTTTATAGTGATGTATAATGTTATGAGATTTAAGCTATCTAAAATAAACATTTATGGTTTTGTGTTATATTCTGTAGTAATTCTAAGATGAAAAAAGTGTAATTTAGATATATTTTCTAATTTTTTATTATGGTTACGAAGTCAGTCAAATCAACCAAACCCATACAGATATAAGACAGAGAATAACATAAATAACATAAAATATAAAGTTTTTTCTAAAAAAGCTTGTTAATCTGGAGATTATAAAGTTTTTGCATGTGGAATTTGACAATTTTGTGATACATAAAAGTATTTTTAATCTTAGAATTATTTTGTCTGTTGGATAGTCAACATTCAAAAAGAAAAAAATGCACGTGTAAATCATTAATTTAAAACTCTTAAACTTAATTACAAAATCTGATATTTTGTGTTCAAAAGCCTTGTAATGTTTACCAATAATCAGCAAAATTTTGTGAAGCTAATCGTACATTCTAAAAAGTTACAGTATACTCCTCTGTGGTTACACTGAAGGAAATGGGCTTGGTGGACTTTCTTTTCTCTCTCTCTTTTACTGCCCACTTCTGAAAATGGGCCACCCTTTAAAAGAGCTTGCACTAAATTGTGAATATTTATTTTTAAGCAGGAAATTACTTTTTGATAATATATGGAATTGTTTGTTTGCTTCAAGTCACTGAATTATAATAAGTACCTAAAAATCAAACTACCTGCTAAAAGACAAAATTAGGGTTAAATATCAAATTAGACCTTACCTCAGCAAAATCATCCATTTATTATAATCTTTCTGATATTCTACAAACATAGTTTTTTTATACTTTCTGTGAGATGATGGGACCTGACTCATCAATTTTTTTAAACCATCATGGTCTAGCAAGGGTTGTTCCAATCTTGACAGTGTATGATTCGAAGTTTTACAAGCTTTGTTTTCATGTGCCAGGAAATAGTCTTCGGTGAATGGCAACTGCACAAGAAAAAATTACTGTTTCAGATCTTTAAAGAATATTTTTACAATAAATATTATATTATGTAATTATAAATTTGAATAATAATTTCAATATCCAACACTGATGATTTTAAAAATAGTGTTCAAGTATTACTAAACTCATTCTACATTCTTATTGATCAGCTAAAAATATTTTCTATATGGGTGATAATGGATTTGAAACACAAGTCCAAAGTTACATATTGACAATAGAATAATTTGAACAAAACATACCCTGAAAATTAAGTATTTGGCAAGATGGCTAGCTTTTAAAAACTATATAAAACAGCTATTCCTACTCCTAAAAACTTTAAACATGCATAATTTGTCTTTATATTATCCTTACAAACTTTCTAGAGGATCCTGTATTTTCTTTTATATTTTTAAATTTTGCTTCTTCTAATGATGAAGTTTTATGATGTTTGTCTTCTAACAAATTATCTTCTTCATCTGTTTCACTGTCTTCAAAGTCTGCTTGATCATCTGACATCTTGGCAAGCTCTAAGTTGATCAATGACCAAAAATTAAGACCCAGAAAACTGACACCGTTTCTTATCATTGTAATAATATATGTAATAACCCATTATATTAAAGAAATCATGAGCAAAAAATTATGTGCAAACATAATAACTTAATAAAAGGTGTGTATCACTATACGTATAAGAAAATATATCATAAAACATCCTAAAGTTACTTAAAAACCATAGAATACAGCATAATAAAATTATGTAAACATTTTCTATATATATTAGTATCTCATGGTTATTATAAATTTTTCATTTACACTTTTATGGTGACTGCTATTTTTTCTTAAAATTACCTTCCAATAACAGTAAGTTACCTACTTAGAATTAGATTTAGGCAATAAACACAATTACCTATAAGCATCCATTACACTGATAAGCACACTAATCACTGGTAGATACAACGCTTCAAAATAACGACTTCCTTTTAGATCTGACTTTTCTTCTGTGCACAGAATGATTTACGTTGATCTGACCTCCAATGAACGACTTCCTGACAGATGTGACATACAACCAGGATTTTTGGGTAAGAGGTCAGATATAACCTCTATATAGCAACTTTTCTTTATTTCAATAAAAATGTATCAATATGCTGCATGTTCATTTATTTGATTTTATGTGTACATGTTTGTACTTTAATCTGAATTAGTGATAATTCAACTGTAGTTTGGTGATGTCCAAGACAGATGCCAAACTACACAATGAAAATTAATATGAAGCTGGGAAATTTTCATATTTTATGTAATATTCTTCAAAATATGACTACCTCTACTTGGAGAATTCAGTATGATCAGAGAAAATTAATAAATTCAACAGCAATTAGTGCTTGATCACAACAGTTGACACATGATAACTTATGTGTCATTCAAACATTTTTATCATGGCAGATAGGTCAGTCATATGAAAATGAGACCATGACGCAAGCTGGGAAAACCTATACCAGCCAATCAGCAGTCAGAATTAGCCTTTTCTTGAGATGTTACATGATGCATGATGTAGGTAAGAAATTCTTCCAATAAGTAGTTAATCTACAGCTTGCTGTATAAATATGACACATATCAAAGAATAACTCACATTTTTGTACAAAGATCGATTCTGTCTAACAATGCCACAAGAAAAGTGAAAATGTAAACACTTCACTCTCCAAGAAAAGGTCAAAGTCCTCAAAAAGGAGGAAAAGGGTGCTAAGTGTGTTCATATTGCTGCTGAAATGCAGGTTGGCAAAATGAAAATTCAAACAATTGTTGCCAATAAAGATAAAATTATGGAGTTATGGGAAAGTGGTTCTAATTCGAACATGAAACTCACCAAAGTGCGTAAAACCACAAATCACGAACTTAACAAGCTAATGTTTGATTAGTTTTGTGACACTAGTGCTAAGGACGTTCCTGTTTCTGGAAAGTTGATCCATGATAAATTATTTCAAATAGAACACAAACAAAACAATTTTAAGTTATCTTTATTGAACTGTTATCCATCATAAGTATTATTATACAAATTTACTACATCATCTGATTACCTACACAGTAGATAAACTATTATGCTCAAGCCTGACACAGCTTGAACTTAGTCGTTTGTTATCTGGTTATTGATCCTTTGAATAATGACTTCCTGTTAGATACGACTTTTTCATCAAGGCAGATAGGTCGGTTTTAGCTAAGAGGGGCTACTGTATGACATAAACTAACTGTGTAATTGAAATAATAACTTCATTTTACAAAATGAATCAACTAATGTACTGATTATTACAGCTTATGGTTATTCAAAATATCCAGAAAGAAATACTACAATTAAATCAGTAAATGTCAAGAAAATAATCAATTAATCAAAATGATTTTTCCAATTATTTCTGTTTTTGATTATTCCAACTCTAATAGTAATGGAAATATTGCCATTATGATTTATCATTATTATTTTTGACTAATTAAAGTATAATCAGCTTAACTGAGATTAATATCACTACTCACAAAAATAATCAATCACAATTAGTTTCAATTTATTACCAATTTTGATTATTCCAAATATCCAATAACCAAGTAACTGAAATATTGCCATGGGGAAAAAAACACAGAATGCTATTAATCATATTTTCTGCTTGTTAGAGGTTTCATTCTACATTACCATATGATAAATTTTCATGCACAACAGTTTTATATTAAAAAATACCTTAATTCTAAATTATTGCTCCTGAAGACAGGTTTCCTTTGGCTTTTCATATTTTCTCACCAGTGCTATTGCTAAATGAATATGTTAATTTTAACTATATTTAACTATAAACTCAAACATACTGATACTCAATATTTTGTAACATTAACTTAGAGTAATTCTGGAATAAAAATTGAAAAAATATACAAATTTTCAGTTCCAAAAGGAAATAAACAATGCATTTATAATTTTTTTTTCCTTAAGTTTCAGCCCGTACCAAAGAAAAGCTGTATTTCTGCTAAAAAACTATTACTGTTTGAGAGTATATTATCCATTTTTTGACTTTCATATTTCCCTTATAGTTTTCATCTTATTTTTTTAAACAGAATTTGGTTGCCACTCTTTTATGTTGCCAAACAAAGTGGTTTGATCACTTACTAATGAAACACAGCTTTGTAAACAGCTATAAAGTATGTTAAAATATAATTATACAGAGCAAGAATTAGACTTTTCATCATAGTAGAGTAAATAAAATAATTTAAGAAGTATCGTACAGTTTATTAGGAAAGTTTCTAGTTAAAGCTCCTGTAAAACTGACCAAAGACATTCAATGAAACTTCTGAAAACTTAAAAGCAAATGAGAGAACTGTGATTTTTTTATAGTTTTCTATAGAAATTCTTTTGGTTCATGAAAGTGTCAAATTATATTTGTTTGAAAGCTACAGAAATGTTCTTTGATGAAAAATGAGATAAGCTCAGTTAAGTTTAGAAAGGTGACAGCAAAATTTTCTGATGATTCAAATAATATACAAAAATAAACTGGCTAACTAGCTATTTAATTATTTCTAATTGCAATCATGATATGCTTTAAATAAGAACATTATTACCATTACCAATGATATTAAAACATTATTGATATTAGTTACTTAATTTACATGAAATCAATGAAAGGATCACTGCATATTTTAAAAATAAACAAAACAGTGACCCTGTGGTCAACATTAGTAGGAAATGTTCATATTATTTTTAAAAGAATTGCTCCAAAAATTTTCATCAACATGATTGTTTTTTATTCTTGAAATTAGTAAATGGTGATTGATAGCAGAAACACTGAAGATATCTGTCAAATTACACAAAAGGTAGATCGGAAATGTCTCAATAAAACAAAACTGGCTGAAAATAGGAAGTTTAATCTTATATAAGTAATCAATTAATAAGTCCTATGATTAATCAATCAGCAAATTCCACTAATTGCCCAGCTTTACTAAGATCAAAACTAAAAACCAATCCAGTAATTATTATAGCTAATTAATTATAATTTTCTCATACTCTTACTTATAAAAAGTAGTACACATTATTTCACTAGTTGGGTATCTTCATTGTTAATGATATTTTTGGCCATAAACCCAATAATATTTCACTAGGTTTGGCTATCTTAGGAGATATACACGAGTCCCTAAATCTGTATACTTAATAATCAATGTGTAATAAGAAGAACATAATAAAACTATACATATTCCAACCAACATTATTAACTCTTTCAATACTGGGTTGGTTGACTTGACTAACTTTGTAACCAGAAAGTAACCATCAGAGACTCCATACTATAACTTTTAATGTAATTTCTGTATATTCGTGAAATTTGGCAAGGTTTCAGTACACATTACAAGTCTTTTGTACAGAAAGAATCAAATTTTTTAATTAAGTATTTTTATTCAAGATTTATCTTGGAGTCAGAATGTTGACTGCTCTGAGTGCAAAGTGATTTTCATATTAAGTTTAAAAATATTTTCCTTTGTGTGTAAATTTTCAGATTTCACTTGCATAACTTCTAAAACCTCCTAAATAAATGTCAAACGTTTTTCTTCAGTAAAACTTTATATTTTATCTGTTATTTTCTCTACCCTAACTCTATATGAATTTGGTTCATTTGACCAACATTCTAATCACCATGAAAAAATATGAAATAAATTTAAGGTAGCATATACACTTTACATAGTGTTATCTAATTTGGCCTTTTTATCAGAAAAAACATCTCCATACTACGCTTTTTGTATGAAAACATACTGAAATAGGTACAAAGATATATTCTGACACATGTTGTGTAACATAAACACTGTGGTTAATTAACATTCTCATAGTGGTTTTTAACTCATAACTTCAGACATGTTGATGGTATAGACTTCACAATTGGCATAATATGCATTATTAGTGTATACATAGTGTGAAATAAGTATAGTTGACAAGAGGTTTGTTTTTAATAAATGACGATTAATGAGTCACTGTAGCATATGTCCTACTTAGGGTATACTCATTAATGCTGCAATTTGTCAGAATTTAAAAAATATTATTATATATGTATGTGGGTTCTGTTTTTTTTGGCTAATTGTTGAATTAAATGGCTTTTATTTATATTTCTTAATAGTATAAATATATACTATGTTGTTGTTGGGCTTAGGATTCTTCTACTGTAGGTGTCTGTGACTTGTTAGTGATAAATTAAACAATGAATAAACAGCACACACTTTATTTGTTTTGAAATAATATATTCGAAACAAGTTAAACATATGTACAATAAAGTATTCACACTATAGAGAATATAAGCATATCGTAAACATTATATCAGTATATGTAGAGTTCTCCTCTTCTTGTCAAAAGTCCACTTAGGCTCGTTCAATTACTTTAGAATCTCAGTTGACAAGCCGACCTATTTTCTCTTATACTATCACAATTTTAGTCTGGTGTGATTCACTTATGATTGTAGTCTTCTTTCTTCTGAATATCCTATGTTCCTTTTGCCAAAGTGCACTCAGGCTGATTCAATTACATTAGAATTTTGCTTTGATGGAATAAACTTATTTTTTCTTATTTCCTTTTCCACTGTTAGTTTCACTCTAACATATATTAAACGTTAGGCCTATCACTTTTACGTTACTTAACTTCACACCACCTATATTATCTTTGTTTTTATCTATCTAATACTTTCTTTCTGCTGCTTCCCGCTCATCTCACGCTATTTATATCTTTATTACCTAGTCGTCTGGCCACTTTCTATATTCTTGACTCCAATTAGTTATTAACAAAACCTTCTACAATCATCTGCTTTTAACTATTATTATAACAAAACTTAAAAATAATACAATATTCTCTCACAAATATACATTAATATACAGTCTTTTGTATCATGACATTGATCTTGAATTAATATTCATAGTTTTTCTTAGTACAGAATAGTTCTTCACATCCCATCAAAGTCTGGACCCATTTTCAGGAGCATTAATCATGTTTGTAGAAGTTATGAGGAACATAAGACATTTCTTTTGTATTTCTTTATTTTTATAACATGCAAATTAGCCACACACAACGTGTGCCAGAATATGTCAGTATATTTTCATACAAAAAACATAGTATGAAGATGTTTTTTCTGATAAAAGGGCCAAAACGTAAAAAATACTATGTAAAGGGTATATGCTACCCTAAATTACCCTTTTTTCTTTCTAAAGATTGTAACAGAAAACTAAAGTTGTTTATCCTAAATAACTTGAGGTTCATAACAGTTTAAATTTGTTTATAATTAAATTTTATTGTGTTATTGCCTTTTTAACCATGTATAATTAATAATCCTATGACACAAGTTGTAACTAACTCAGTAAATGTGTAGTTCATTTTACAATATTGAATGGCATAAAGCATGAGCTGCTCGCAAACATACCTCATGAAAACTTTTCATCTTTTTTTTTTCATTATCTTACCTAATCCAACCTAATAAGTTTCTAATTTTCACATTTTAGTTACTTTTATAACAATAAATAAAGAATATACATGAGAATCAAGAAATATATTATTTGCCTTTGATCTTTTGTTTTCGTTGTTGGTTGCTGATGAAATTTAAGCCTACTTTTTTCTTTTTTATGATGGTACTGTTACATAAGTTTTGATTTACTTAAATAATGCACCTAAGGACACAGAATAATAAAACGCACAAAGCAAACAATGTTCTATAACTATTATAATTTAACTGGCTTTCAAACTAAGACAAGAAGGGCTTAAGTTAATTCCTTTTGCTGCTCGATCTGAACATCATGAGATAAACTTTCAAACTGAAGGCTAAATTGTACTGAAAACAACAAAGTATTATACACCATATAATTACTCTGCCAGATGGGCATGACAAGTGGGTCTGATTTTCTAGTTTATGGCTCTATTAATAAATATGAAGGCTTTAAAAATCTCACTTTGTCTTAGTAATACCTATATTATAATGAGTAATTTACATTAAATTTTATTATTCAAAGTGGGTGGTAAATAAATGAGAGAAGGGGGAAGACCTAGAGAACGAATATCAAGTTCTGATATTTACATAGACTGAATATTTATTTAAATACTTCCTTATAGAATTAGGCCTTAAAACTTAAATACATAATATTAAAATTTGATTTATTAAGTATGTCTTGATGCCAAGTTTATTCGTACACATGAAACTCCTTAAAAGATCATAACATGTGCACTTGAACTTACCTGTTGCAAGAGGGTTAATGAAAGTAACATTAAAGAACAGAGTATATCTCACTTATGAACCCACAAACACAAGTTAGCTTGAAGTACTAATTCAAATCCATTGTTCTTTGAATAACATAACAAAAAAGTTACATAAATCAACTGATGTTTCAAAATGCTCAACATACAACCCTAAGCAAGATAAAATTTAGATTTTTAAAAAATTCTGAAATTGTTCTTTTACTATTCAGGGGTTAGAACTAACCAGAGCTCAAAACGAATCTCCCAACTTGCAGGTTTCTCTTAGAAACAAGTGTACATGGTATTTTCTTTGATATTTGAAACATCAAAAGCTGACATGAAAGTGCATGAAGCAGTAATCACTAATTTTTTTCTAAGATCTTTAGAACTTCAGTAGTCAAATATATTTATATATATATATATATCAACATAAAAATTATTTATTGTTTATTATTTCTATTGTAAATGTAACTTTAAAAATGATACTTAAAGGTACAATAGTGAATGATAGGTCACAAATTTACATACCCCGTTGAACACATCTTCTTAATAAATATGGTCTGTCTTCATGCACAGTTTGTTTTACCTTTGTTTTTGTTGTACTAGATCTGAGTGTTTTCTGTTTTTGTTTTGTTTCTGTAGAAAAAGCTTTTGTAGTTGTACACCTTATATTAACATAATGTTCTTGGCCAAATGACCCATATCCTAATTTTGAAGGCTGATTCTTTTTATTGATATTCTTCAGCTGGTTGATTGGTTGTTTCATAGGTTCCTCTGGGGAAGAAAAAAAAAATTCAAATTGTTAGTTAGGCATAAATTCAATATGACTTTTTTTTATTAAAAAGGAAAAATTAGAATCTAATGAAATGTTCTTAGTTTTATGTTCTGTAATTAGCTTTATCAGAAGCACTTTAAAAACCAATTTTTATTATAATTATTAAAAACTTCTTAATTAAATTGAAAAATGTATAATAATATAGCAAGCACACCATGTGCTATATTCAGTCCCGATTAGGCCCTTTGCCCAACACTAGCACTCTTTAGGCTGGCTGGGATATGACAGACACACTAGTGATTGAGATGCTACTTATATTAGCAAATTGCTTAACAACAACTGTTATGGTGTGAGCTGGGTTAAGTTGGTGAAGTACAATTTTTCATAACATTTTGTTTTTTATCTCACAACATATCAATGTTTGGTTGGATTTTTCAGCACTACATTATTTTCAAAATTATTTACATGTTTAGTTCTTAAAGTAATGAAACTGGCAAATGTGGAAGAACAAATGCACTTTTAAAATAAATAAATTTTTTCCATTGTGGAAAACAAAAACATCAGATTAGAAAATTGATGTAGACTACCTTTAATGTTTACAACTTTTTTCTTGGCAGTCATAGTGTTTATTTGGACTGCTCAACCTTGGTCTTATAATGGACTTTAAAAGTAGGTCACGTACTTGGCAAATTTTTTATATTTTGTATTTTCAAAGCAGTATTTTTTGCGAAATGAATTCAGAGTATAACATTACAAGTTAGGACACTGTTCATTCTGTATCTAAGAAATTACCTACCTATCTTGCCACTACAATTGAGCTAAATTATTCTGACATTTTTATTTTAGAATGTTCAATATTTAATTGACTATGCTTTAGCTTCTCCTCTCAGATGGCTATCGATTTTTCTTTTTGAAACATTATCCGACACCTTTCATGGCATTAACATTTTCTTCTTTCCCACGAACTGGAGCTACGGCCATTAATGTGTGCAGAAATTCCAATCCCTTCAATTTAAGGTTTTGGAAATTCTTTTTTTTTATTGGAAAAGTCAACATTATGGATTCCCTTTTACTATGCTTGGTCTAACCTAATTAAATTGCAATTAGCATCAACTTCTCCAAACTTTCAGTCGACTCAACCCATAATTATATGATCTGGTTCTGAAGTAGTAGTAGGCTTGCCTCACTTTAATCTTTTTGTTAGTGATTTACAATTTACTTGATTTTGTTAGAAAATATTTTCAGTCAACTGCACAGCTTCTATATTTTATAAATGTTCTTCAATGTAAAATATTTACTTTAATGTGGAAATGTCTTTTCTTATATTTATCATATCACCGACTCTTTTGACTCATTGTATCTAGGATGTATAGACTCATGAATCTTTAGTGAGTAATATTTCTTTGGCTCTTCACTTGCTAAAGAGTTGCCTAATGCACCTTCCTTTACCAAATAATCTCTGCAAACATGGCTTTTGCTCTGTAGCCAAGGGAGTAATTTCTATGCCACCATTGATCCTCACTGGCCCTGACAGAATTATTTCTCAACAAAACTCTTCTTTTAGACAATCAATTTATAAAGTATTTTTAAATTAAAATCTCTTCTAATGAATAAGAACATTTTAAAGTTTAGGTTTTTGTTTAACTAAAAATAATGGTTGTCATACATAGATTGTTTGCTACAATATCTAAGCCTATCTAATAGTTTACCTACAAAGAAAAAAAAGAAGAAAAAGAGCACAACACTAATTTCAAAATTGGAGATTGATCTGAATTGTATTAGTATTAAAGCTGAAATAAAAAAATAAAAACTTTGAAGTGCTCAGACAAAATAAGTAAATATGTTTGCTGTGTTAAGGATATTAGAAGAAAATGTGACTTACAATTAGTTACAAAATATGTATTCTGTTCCAATATAATCAGCCTGAGCATATCACCATTTCAAAACAAAATGAATCAAAAACTAACAGTTCAGATGACACCAAAAGTATTCACTTATGTATATATATATATCATCCAGACAATAATTTGCCTCACAACTATATTCATGAAAATTATGAGTTTAAATGTTTACTTGTATAGAATAATGAAAACCCTATAACTCAAGCACTTTCGAAATGAGGACCTTTCTTCTTCAGGGATAAACTGGGAATGGTGGTGTAACTAATTAAGATCACTAATTCCAGGAGTTAATTCCATTAAGTTGAACAGTATTTATATTATCAATCCGATAAGATTCTTTTATCTCTTCTACCAGCTTTAGTTTTAAAGTCAGTTTCAATGCTGATTAGAGTAACATCCTTAATAGAAAGACCAGGTTGGTTGATGTGTTGAGCAAGAGGGAGATCATTTTCGGTGTTAATAGAAAACTTATGGTTGTTGAAACGTTTTCTAAAAGTTGTTTGGGTATGTACTACAAATTGGTGGTTTGTTCTTTGTCAGAAAAATAATTTTTATTTATTTATTTTTAATGTTGTATGAACTCTCAATGTTTACCCCTAATCTTGTTTATACTTACTATTTATTTGTGATCTGCTTAACATTTGTTTTTCAGCAAATCTCCGCGTGTTCCCTTTATTTTACTTTAACATTTAAGTAAAGTTTTTCTGGACTATTTGTAAAGCAAAACATCTGTAACACCTTTTCACATAACACTCTCATTTCCATCAATGTTGCACCAGAAATGAGACATACTTAACAACAGTACATTGAAAAATATACCAAATCACTTGCTCGGGTAAGAGGGTGTTTATCATTTTATATTAAGACTTTTTGAACATATGTTTTATCTGACACAACGATTGTTTATTGGTAGATATCTCAAATTATCTTAAACATGATTAATTTTTTTCCTGTTTTACCAACTTAGTAATTTCTTCTTGAAGATGTTACTTGTTATGTGGATGATAATAATGATGTGGATTTGGTGTATGTAGATTTTCAAATACATTTTTCAAGGTGCCACACAGAAGATTAGTAGGGGTTAGGGAAAGACCAGTTAAAAGAAAGCACACACAAAAAAAAATTATTGAGTCCATTCAAACTAGACCTTTGTTACCACTCACTTAGTGTTCCAGTCTTTGTTTTTCTAAGATTTACATTAATGTTATTGATAACAGCTTCCTTACAAAATTAGCAAAATTTGATTATAAAATCAATAGTTTGGATCAGTTGTTAAGTTGGAAAAATAGTTGGCAAATACAATTCAATTACAGTTACTACAAAATAAACCATTTAGGTTCACATGACTTGGGTCACAAATTTAATATAGTATTAAACCTATTTAATAAAATGACTAAAGAAAAGGACCTTGGCACAGTAGTACATAAGTTTTTCTAACCACTGAAGCAGTACTCTGTTGTTAGTAGTAAAGCAAATAGAATTTTAAGATTTTGGTTGGTTGGTTGTTTAGTTGGTGCTTTATGGTGCAAAGCAATGAGGCTATCTTCACCAAACAACCAGTAAAAACAGTGAAAGTAAATTAGAATAAAATGTAAAAATACAGTGAGTTAAAACCAAAATATGTTGATAAAAGATTTATATACAATTAAAAAGACCTACAGTGCATAAAAAATTACAAATACAATCTAATCGGACAGTGTCACCATTACCAATGGTTACCATTGACATCATGTAATTGGTGTCACCATTACCAATGTTCAACGTCATGGGTAAACTCTTTAAAAATGCGTGTGTAAAATGGTGCCACTACTCACGGTCATAAAGACGGCACAACAGTAAAATGTGGGCTATTGTGACTTGAGTGTCACAATGGCTACACATTAGTCGGTCAATACTGGATAAGAGAAAACGATGGGTTAAAAAACTGTGACCAATGCATAGCCTTGCCAGGACAACTTCCTCCTTCCGATCCTTACGGAAGCAAGATGGCCAAAGACCAACAGAAGGTTTGATCTGGAAAAGGCCAAAGGGAGAAACAGCAGACCCTCTGTTCTGAAAGAGCATTGCCCACCGAAGAAGAAAGACACAAACCCAGGTGGGATGCCATGGTAAGGATCGAAGCTTGGTAGCATATTGTAAAGAAAGTTGCAAACAACGGAGGTGAAGAGGAGGTTCATGGGACTAGAGAAGTGTGAAAAGCTCTGGTGCAGAGCCGAAGCCCCAGATGGTGAATGGGGTCCAGCATCTTCAAGGCCAAGGTCCTGGCAGAACCACAGACCCATAGTCCAGTTTGGATCAAATCAGGGCACAATAGATCCTGAGCATAGAACATCGATCCACTCCCCAAGAGCTGGAAGAGAGGACATGGAGGATGTTCAGAGCCCTTGCACACTTGACACGCAGCTGCTTGATGTGTGGAATGAAGCAAAGTTTATGGTCAAAAATAAGCCCCAAGAACTTTGCCTCAGGGACCACACGAATAACCATATCACCGAGACGGAGCACGAGATCGAAGTCGAGACCCCGTTGGTGGCAAAAACGCATGCAAATGGTTTTGGAAAAAGAAAATTTAAAACCATTTGCAGTGGTCCATGTCAACAACTGATTGAGGGCAGTCTGAAGCTGCCACTCAATAAACCTCATGTTCGACGACTGACACAAGATGTGGAAGTCGTTGACATAGAGCCCATTTGCAACAGTTGGAGGAAGATTATTAGTGATGGCATTAATTTTAACACGAAAAAGTGTGACACTCAAGACACAGCCCTGAGGGACTCCAAGATCGGGGTGGAGACCCCGTTGGTGGCAAAAATGCATGCAAACGGTTTTGTAAAAAAAATTTAAAACCATTTGCAGTGGTCCATGTCAACAACCGAATGAGGGCAGTCTAAAGCTGCCACTCAATAAACCTCATGTTCGACGACTGACACAAGATGTGAAAGTCGTTGACATAGAGCCCATTTGCAACAGTTGGAGGAAGATTATTAGTGATGGCATTAATTTTAACACTAAAAAGTGTGACACTCAAGACACAGCCCTGAGGGACTCCAAGTTCCTGTGGAAAGGAACGGGAAAGAGTTGAACCCATACAGACTTGG